GGTTCAAAGGTTTAGGGGTTTAGGGGTTTAGGGTTTAGGGTTTAGGGGTTTAGGCTTTAGGCTTTTGCCAAAGAACTCACAAAGTGTGGGTCTTTTCGGAGTCTTCGAGTGTTCTCGACTCGCTCAGGGCAGGTTCGGATCTCGAGGTCGCCGCTTTGTACCCAAGCTCCAGAGTCGAACCCTTTATGGGTTTAGGGGTCAGGGTTTAGGGTTATGGGTTTATGGGTACCCGCTTGATCCCTAAGGGTCCATGTACCCAAATAGGATATACTTTGGCCTTAAAGTAGTCCCTACTTGGGTACTTTGGGGCCAAAGTATGTCCTGTTCGGGCACCTGGACCCTTTGGGTATGGGTAGAAGACAAGTCTGCATCCAACTACCCCGAAGAGCTGAACCATAGATAGATCAAAACACAGACCCAGCGTCAAGGTGCCCCTGTAAAGACCCTGGCAGGATTCAAGGCAAATCTCAAAAGGCCCTCTCTACCACCCCCGAAAACCCTAAACCCTTTGGGCAGCGGGCTTGAACCCAAAACTCTAAGCTCTCAACCCTTTTGCAACAGGCTTCGTACTTCGCCTGGAGCCGGTCGCTTCTGAAGCGCAGCAGCCGGTTTAGGGTTTAAAGGGTTTAGGGTTCAGGGTTCAGGGTTTAGGGTTTAGGGTTTAGGGTTTAGGGACTCTGCCAATCAGCTGGGGAAGCAGCACTTCCAGATTTTTGCATCTGGGAAGTAGCGCCGCCAAACTCAAACCTAAAACCCTCACTGGCAACCCTAAACCCCTAACCCTAAAACCCTAAACCCTTTTTCACAAGGGACTCGGCTGCTGCCCTTACTGCCCAAACCCTACACCCTAAAACCCTAAACCCTCGACCTCCCCCCTGCCTGCCTGCTGTGCCGGGCAGGCGGCTGACACCACAGCGACTGGAGGCTCCCGGCCAAGCGAGGACCATGGCTAAATTCTCTCAGGGTGCCTTTAAGCAATACCTTCCCCAGGCAATGTAGGGGCCTACATAATTACCTATACTCTTTTGGGGGCTCCTTATGATAATTATACTATAAAGGACACCCAAACCCCTATTCTGATTATTCAGTATCTTCAGGGTTCCTTCACGAGTTCGATAAGATCTATAGGTGCGCTGTAGGACTTAGGGTATCATTGGTGTACAGCGGATCAGGAGCTCAGCGACTCCTTCCAGTTTGTAAGCCTGCAAAGGTTCAAACGTGTGTGTATACAGGTACTTCCTGTGGTTTAGGGGTTTCGACTCCCTATGGCTTTACAGCTTCAGGGCTTTAGGATAGGGCTCTGAGTAGGCCTGAACGTGATAATCCTTAACCCATGCACTTCAGAGGTCGTACAACACTAAAGAACAGCTCTTCAGTTGAAGTGACAACTCATGGCCAGCTTTGGGCCTAGACGTCAGACTGCATCTCTCGAACAACGTGCATGAAGAACAACAAACCAATTCGTGACCCCGACATCGGCCAAAGCAAAGACTCTCATCTATCCAGAGGACACAGCTCAAATATGGGACCCTCAACAATAAGTCTTAACATCTGGGGTTCTCCTGCTCAAGAATTCCATAAGCATCCCACAATCCTGGGCTCTTGTGACTAAAGCCCCGGACTCCGCATTAGTGCCGTCACTTGGTGCACCAGAGTCTGAAGAACAAGAATCCCACCGGTCCCCGGATAAAGCTGCAGATGCTGCTTCGTCCACAGCTGAATGAACATGTCTCGTGAGCTCCCTCTCTCTCTTTCTCTCTCCCTCTCCTGCTCTTCGATGCCTGACATGTGCAAGGCCTTCCTGCACCCTTCACCTGGAGATTACGCGAACCTGAGCCCTGCATTTCTGGGCAGGAAGAAAATGCCTTCTGCGACGCGCCGTGCTCGAATTGTGCAGGAAACGCTCGTACTCTTCCAGAGCTTGAAGTCCTTTAGATGTGAGGTTCGATCAGGCTACAGGTTCTTCCCTAAACCACCCCAACAAATAGCTAAATCAATGGCCCAACACCTACAAAAGGCTATTCTTCTACGTGCTTGCGGGGTCCCAGGCATGGCCACTATTTTTCTGGGCGCAAGGCTCCGGAAGGCTGCGGAGTTTAGGGCGCAGCCCACCATAGCCCACCCGTAGGGGCCTAAATAATTACCTACCTATACTATTTTGGGGTTTTCCTTACTATAATTTTAGTATAATGGGCCTTAAAACCCTATTCTAACTATTAAGGCCCCTATATTAGGACTGTATCCTGCGTGCCCTGAGGAGTGTTGGGTTTAGGGTCTGTTTGAGTGCCTAGGTTCTTGTAAGTTTCAAGTTTTCGGGTTCATGAGATTTTAGGGCCCTGCACCCAGAACACCAACCTAAACGACCGACGCTCTTTCTAAAGCCGTTTGACGAGCCTGGACTAAACCTCCAAGCCCCACACCCTCACTACCATGACGGCTTTTTTGGCTAACCTGCCTGTGGCCTCTGGCTGCCGTTGTTACGATTTTAAAATTATTCTCGTCAATACTTCGCCATACCATCACTTGTCTTCGCACGCGCACTACAAGGGACTATAGATCCAAGCACTCCCTCAGTTCCTCTTCGGCCGTGAGCTGACCGAGACTTCAAGGACACCTGGCAGTAGTCAGCTTCGTTGAAGTCGATGCTGGAACTGAGGGTTTCGGCGTCTAAAAGCAAGTCGGCTTTGCTGAAGCCCCAAATGATATCCGTCATAACTGATCCATAAGCCTTGTCGGTTTGGCTGACAGGAGCCTGAGGTGCTTAACGCCACAAACCTCCAACCATGAACGATGCCTGAAGCCCTGCAGCCCTTAAAAGCCTCAGGCCCGCAAAATCTGCAAACAAAAACATCAAGGCATCTCCAAACCCCCAGAGCGCAAAGCACGAAACGCCAGAAATGACAAGGTTCGAAGTGGACTTGCAGTCCCAAAAGTCGAGGATCTTATATCTAGGCCGTCTATAGGTTTCAAGATCTGTCTGGTCCTGATCCTCAACTTTCATACTTTTAATCCTTTCTTGCTTTTGGTCCCATAGTAGGCTTTAATGGGGTTTCGGCTTATCCGAGCTTCACGGCTTTACCCAAACCCCCACCGCCTCCGCGAGGTCTGCAGCCTCCGGAATCTCAGCCCTGTCCTTGCATAAACTCCAAGCCTGCACAAGGCTCGGGGTGATTTAGGGTGTAGGGGTTTAGGGTTTTTTAGGTGTTTTTGGGGTTTAGGGTGTAGGGGTTTAGGGGTTTTAGGTGTTTTTGGGGTTTAGGGTGTAGGGGTTTAGGGGTTTTTAGGTGTTTTTTGGGTTTAGGGTTCAGGGGTTTAGGGGTTTAGAGTCTAGAGCTTTGGGTTCAAGGGTTTAGGGGTTTAGGGGTCAGGGTTTGGGGCTCGGGGTTCAGATCCGTTTGGAAGGCTCGGGGGCCCACTAGCCGCTAGCCTAAAAACCCCTTGACGGGTCCTTGTTGGGTTGAGTCCCTCTCCATAGTCAGAGGACAAACCTTGAAGCTATTTAAAGCTTACGGCAGCTAATTCCGAGTCTGCTCCCACAGCTTGCTGTTTTCGCCGGTGAAGCGCACGCAGTCTCTGCCCCACCAGGTGCCTCAGTATGAGGAACTGGGGTACTACCTGCGAGTAACAGCCTATGCAACTGCAAATTCCAGAGATCTGAAAGTTGAAGCGGCCGGTGCAATCCAGACACGATGTGCTCCAGTTTCTTGTTCAGCCTCCTGGCCTCTGCACAAGCTACTTCGTTGATTAGTTTGGAACCAAGAACATCAAGTTCTCCGAGCTTTAAGCAAGCTCAGAGTAATGGCAAGTTGTGCAAGCAACTCGCCGTGGCTTCTTTTGTGTGCTTGCAGGGGAGAGACATACTGTAAACTAGTTCTCAGAAAACATGGTCGCAGGAGGAGTAAGAACAGAACAGGCTCCGGGTACACTTCATGGAGAAAGGCCGATGTGAGAGTTTGTAAACTTAAAGACCCCACATGACCGCACTATAGAGCCCTAAGTAGAAAGATCTGTCTTCCGAATCGCACCACGCCAGAAGCACGTTGTGTCAGACCGCAACAAAACCCTCATACTGACACCTATACCCAACTTGCAACCCGGCTGCTTCGAGGGATCTGCCTGCAACCCGGGCCTCGGGAGAACAGTCGCATTGGGATGTGAGCGTTGCGACCATCTCTATCTCTCTCTCTCTCTCTCTTCCTCCCTCCATCCGAAACGTACATGTACGTGTGTATATATATATATATAGATAGATAGATAGAGGTACATTCAGGCCATCTAGCCAACAAGCTTAGGGCCTCTGCAGGTTTATAGGTTTGTAGCGACTGTCCAGGACGAGGAGTCGGGCGATATGCATCCGCCACGCTCATCCACGGTTTAGGGTTTAGGGTTTAGGGCTATGCAGAGGGGTGTGCTGAGGTTCACGGCCACAACCCATCTACTGAACGCAGTTGGAAGCTTGTGCCTGAAGGGAAAGATAGACAAGGAATAAGGCCTTCACTCCATGCCGGATCCCAACATTTCCCAGGGAGTATCTTCAAGTGCGACCGCGAGTCCGCTTTGGTCCAGGCAGGCGCAGGCTTCAGCCGCAGCACATGCATCCTTGGATTCCGGTGGCTTTGCATGTCCAGCTATGATATGCGCTTGCCCGACGGTGCGCCGATGCCGTACTGTCACTTAAAAGACCCTAAGCACTTATTCCTAAAAATTCTGTACTCTTAGCCTAAGGCCCTCACCGAGTCGCAAACCATGTACACCCTAAGCCCAAACCCGACATCAACCCTGAGCTTTGCCCGTCCAAATTCCTGGGAATTCACAGCAAGGGCCATCCTTGCGACCCTCATCGTGGTTACACAGGAATTAAGAAGAGGATCATTAATATGGCTTCTATAAGTTTAGGGCTGACAAGGGTTAGGGCTAAGGTGTAGGCTGGGATATTCGGTTTAGGTTTGTGGGTTAAAAGTGACCTGCAGTCCCGCCACGAAATGCTGGGCGGATGTTGAGGGGGTCGCTTAGGATTCAGGATGGCAGCCCAGCCACTCTTGCAGCCATTGTTCGGCCTCCGGCACGGCTTCACGGCTTGGCCTTTTTGGTATAATTTAGGCTTAACAATGCAGAAATAATTACCTTATACATCAAACAGGATCCCCCAAATACAAACATGCTGCTAACTGCCCATGCCCCCATATTATCCGAGACCGTCGTCTTTCAGAGCTGGTGGCTTAGGCTTCGGGTCTGCAGATGACGCAGCCTGGTGAGAGGTATGGACCCTGCTTGTTCGGGCCGCCCCCCCCGTCCCCCGCAATCTCACCTTCTGCGCTTGCCCGGCCGCAGCTGCACTTCGAATCCTCAGCATTCTATGAATGAGTCTTAGCTCTTCTTTGGGGGACTTTCGGGTCAGGGCTCAGGGTTTGGGTACGACAACAAAGCTGCATCCGATATCATCCGATAAGCTCGATCCGACGGGTCCTACATCTTCAGAGCAACCGAACGATACTATTTTTTGGGGGGCTCCTTCTTATTATAAGTATCGTGTATACTGGGCCCCAAAGCCCAGTTCTAGTTATTCAGGAGCCCAAGAAGGACTTCATCAACCTCCAGGCTTTGCAGCTGCAGCCTTCACGCGGGGGTTTCCGACAATAGGGGACCCTAATATTGTACCCTAAATAGTACGATCCTCATTATAATGACCCCTAAATAAGGTACCCCTAATTTCCGGAAACTCCCATATGTCATAACTTTGACAACCACCCATATACTTTAATTGGCCCTAAACCCTAAACCCTAAATCCCCAAAAGGGCCATATGAAGCCCCCAAAAAGTTTGCCTAGAAACAGCAGGCCGTACATGGACCGATACATCGCAGCCTGGCTGGCCTCCCGGTGCGGTTTGGTTTAGGGTTTTTAGGTTTTAGGGTTTAGGGTTTAGGGTTTATAAGGGTTTAGAGTTTAGGGTTTAGGGTTTAGGGTTTAGGGTGGCAGGTCGGTAGTTTTGAGGGTTTGGGTCGACGTGCTGAGACTCAGAGAATCGCACGAGTGCCAGATCCTACCTATAGTCTCCATTGAGTTCCTTTTTTGCGGATACCGTATAAAATCCTTAATATATATATATATATATATATATATATATAGGTTAAACAAAAAAAGAACTACAATGGAGACTATAGGTAGATCCGCTGACTGCCGCCAGCCTTTCGCATAGGCAGGTGTCTCGCAGGGGCGAGAGCCTGTCAAGCTGCGTCTTTCAGGAATGAACCGCACCCCATGCTCTGACACGAGAGGATTTTCGAGAGTGTCACTGTAGGTGGTAGGTGAAAAGCAGGATGAAAGAGGGCTCACCATGCAAGCCCTGCTGGGCTTTTCCGGACGCACTCGATCAAGCTCGCCTCAACCACACGGCTGTAACTGTATGAACATTCATTCCATTTGTCAGGCATTCATCAACTATTTGCAAAACCCTGAAAGGCTCTTAAGACTAAAAAGCTCGACCTAACACACGCCGTGCCCGTGCGCCACAAGCCACACAAAGTCACGAAACTGGGCATCAACCCCACATATCAAATCATACACCACGAGCCCTACACCCTGAGCGCCACAAGCCGTCACTCTAAATAACATCTTCAAGCACTCATTTTGCTTCAGAAAGACACGTTAAACTCAGTCAAACAGGAAACAAAACATCTAGTCGCAATAACTTCCTGATCCTCTCAATCCCCAGCCATGCATCCTAAACTCCAAAAGCCCCGCAAGAAAGCCCTGCCAGACCTCAAGTTCGACAAAAGACAACAAAAACATGCCAGCAAGATCAGCAAATAAACCCTACACCCTCATCCCTAACTCCGACAGCCTTCACCTCTTCGAGCCACTTCTCAGCCGCTTCGGCCCTGCCCGCCCGCACATGCGCCTCTCAGGTGAGGAGCTTCATCTTGCCACCACTGCCACTCCTCCTGCTATTCCTACTACAATGGCTACTAAAGCCAGTGCCACCTTGCCACTACGACGATAACTACAAAGACCCCGAAGCGACAGCCACAACCGCCAACAACAACCACACCAACACCAACAAGTACTACCACAACATACCACAACCGTAAAAGAAACTGCTTCAAACAGTTCGAGTTCCAGTAGTCAGAGCCAGGGCCGCTAAGGGGGTGCTGTCGAGTTCCAGATTTCGGTGGGAGTCTAGTGCCCGAGGGCCTTTTTTTTGGGCCTGTGATGCTATTCCCATCTATTTCCTAACCTTATGTAGGGGCCTGAATAATTAGAATAGGGTTTTGGGGTATATCATAGTATAAAAAATGATAAGGAACCACCAAAATAGTATAGGTAATTATTTCGGCCCCTGTATTATCTTCCCCGCGCGCCCGCAGCACTGCGGCACTTGTCGTCCACCCAACCTGCTTCTTGCGTTGGTAGTTGAGGTGTTCACGGCATGAGGCTGAAAGAGGCATTCAGGTTTCGGCTCAGGCTAGGTTTATGTACTCTATGTCTCAAGCCTGCCTTATACGGAGCACAGGCTCCTTGGCTTAACTTGGTCTTCGGAATGTCGTCTGAGGCACTGCATTACTCAAGGTAGCAACCGAAGAGAACCCTGTTGTCATAGCCAACACTCACACAGGGAATTAACCGCTACAACTTCTACTGTACTTGCTCCAAACTCATGACTCATGACTTCGTCGCACATTCGTCGCACACTCGAAACGTGCAGCGCTTTGAGATGTGATACTCGCCGAACGGCTTCAGAACCACGGCAGATGACAGACCGCCGCCCCAACTGACGATTCTCGTGCTGACTGTTCAAATCACAAGGCGCCCTAAACCCTATATTTAGGGATTTTTTGCCTGCTATATTTAGGGTTTAGGGTTTAGGGATAATCCCGATAAGCCGTAACCCTAGGCCCCGGTGTCGCCTTGAACTCTAAGCCCCCTATCCCAATCGGAAGCACTAACATCGAGGCCCAGCCTATAGTTCAACAGGGAGGTAAGGTGCAAAACCATAGCGGGGTTGCGAAAAGCAAGATCCAAAACGCCAAAGACACCGTTGTAGCGGGGTGTTAGGAATTTGAACTTTTGCCTCCCGCATGGCTGAGCGAGTTGCGAGGCAGGGTTGCAGTAGGACACCAGTAAATTCATCCAACCATTGAGGTATGGATCTTCAAGCTCATTTCGAGCTTCCATGCTTAGGCAAGTGCAATCTGCCGTTGCAGATCACCTAAGGCGTTGCGTGTATTACGATATAACTTATAACCGTACAGGCAGCATTGTCACGATTGGGCACGATACGGGACGAATATATGACTAATTGCTTAGACTGCTACGTTATTTCGAAGTCAGGCAAGGCCTACAGTTATTTCATCGTCGGTCGCGACACCCTGCGCCCGAAACCTCACACTTCCAGCTGACAAGCTCACAAAACCTCTTCATCACAGAAACCTGTAGAGGCGAAGCTGGGAAATCAGAAATCTCAACAACTGTAATCTCATGAGTCACCCCAAGGCAACATACTATTTCACCCGCCGAAAAGCGCCCGATACGAACCCAAGAAAAGAAACCCCTTTGAGAAAAACACCAGTCTCCGAGTAACGCCCTAGCAAAGCCCTGGACAAAAACACAACTTACAAGAGCCTATCAACAACCTAAGAAAACTCGCAAGCCACTGTATAAGGCCGTACACATCCCCACGAAAACCCCCTGAACCCTTTTGCAAGGGCCTTGTCAGATCTCGACCGGACTGATCTAAACCCCCTGAACCCTAAACCCCAAACCCCAAAGCCCTAAACCCGATTGGACGACCTCGACTCCTCGAGCCAATGCACGCCGGAGCGTGGCTTCTGCAGCCTCGGGTTGTCGTTGTTCAATCTCCTCCCCCTGCCCCCTCCCCTTTTGGGGGACTCCTACCGGGGGGAGGCCGGGGTTCTGCATGCTTCTACAGGATCTTTGGGGGGGCTCTCTGGAGCTTCTTGGCGGATGAATTACCTTGGTTTGGTTTTTGGTCTTAGAATGTCTTAGATTCTTGGTTTTGGACGGTTTGGACTCTGGAGGCACATTGACCCCATGCATCACAAGGCCCGAAAGCATAAACGTACCACCTGAATACGGCCAAATACTCTCAATCCCTTCGAAACTTTCTCGAGCTGCTGTGACCTCCTCTCGAGGACTGGAATTGGCCCACACAAAAGTTAACTCCCACAGGACATCAGCTTGCTGTACAAGGACTCCGAAGGACCAGTGAGGAAACAATTCATGCATTGTCGTCGGAGCTGGGTGAGACATCAGGAGTTCAAGTGTTTGAAGCGCTGGGATATCAGGTCTACTAATCTTCGTGTTAGTACTGCTACACAGCCGTATTGAACACATCATTTCTGGCCAGGCGCCTGCACTACTTACAACCTCCTGAGCCTTTGGCCTCTCCACCTGCGGCAGCTCCCTGTCAGGAGGCTAGACGACAGCAAGTTAGATATAACCAAAAACTGTGTTGAAAACATCACAACATATCATCCTAAGTTTGCGGCATGTTTGGCGGCAGCTACAATACCGTAAGCCTCCAAACCCTATATTCTACATCAAGACCTCTTATTGCACCATCATCCTTGATCCCTATAACCCGCTCTCCCCGGCCACGACACGGCGGGTCTCCGATCTTCAGAGTACCTCTCCACCACCGTGGCCACCTGCGGAGATCTGCAAGGCAAGCCTTTCCAACATTGGCGGAACCTTCGGCTGCGGCCGGAGACATGCGACCGCAACAGGAGAATGGACACAATGCAAAACACTACCAAAACATGAGAGCAGGTGGCAAAACATACATGGCGCACGTTCTCTCAAGCGAGGTCAAATTGAGAATCAGACGGACTGATCAGTACATAACCAAATGATTATGTGCTCAAGGTCGGCCGCTCGTCTTGATGAGGAACATGACAACAGCAACAATTCTGTCATGACCCAAACCCCACGCCCAAAACCTCTGTCACAGCCCAACGGTTGATGATATGAACATAAATCCTGCATTACCCATACTAAGGAGTAAAACCAAAACTCCCATAGCTTAGTTCAGGGTCCTTATAGGTAACGCAGGATTCTTTATCATCAACAGTATGATCAGCCTTCTCGGACAGCATCAGTTCCCGAACCCCAAAGGCTTGGAAGCCCCGGACATTGCCACTGCAGCTAATGTAGTGGCCTTAACAATTAGAATATAATTTTGTAATAAGGAACCCCCAAAATAGTACTGTATAGGTAATTATTCAGGCCCAATATTGCCGTGTACTTGCTACAGCACGGACAAGTCAAAATCGTAGTAGCTGGTCTTCGCCGTCGTCGTCGTCGTCATCGTCGTCGTCGTCGTAGTAGTAGTAGTAGTAGTAGTAGTCGCAGCAGTAGGAGTAGGAGTAGGAGTAGGAGTAGGAGTAGGAGTAGGAGTAGGAGTAGGCGTAGGCGTAGGAGTAGGAGTAGGAGTAGGAGTAGGAGTAGGAGTAGGAGTAGGAGTAGTAGTAGTAGTAGT